TGTAAAGAAACATCATCTACTTTTCCAGACATTTTCAAGCATAATAAACTTTCAGGTAGTTTAGCATCTAGTTTAAGTGAAACAAAATCATAGGATCCAACCAGCTCTCTTAGACTCCTAAAATCATGCATATATATCATACATTCCTATAAGACCATAATGAGAAAAGGAAGGCTTTGACTATATCAAGCCTACACTGGACCCATTGAATTTACAACTTACAGGATGGAATAAGACATGTCTTATAAAGTTAGCTTGACCATAAGTATGAATATCATCCGCTAAAGAGGAGCACACACATCCAAAAATGAATAAATGAGATTTCTGTAATGATATGTCGATGAAGTCTATCCAACAGGGTTCTAGAATGAAGACTTACGGTTTAGAAATTGGTCAAACAGCAAAGATACAACGGCGAAAGTGGAAGGACTTCTTGTTCAAACTGGAATGAGTCGCTTGACTATGCTAAAGTGACTTCTATGCGGAGCCAGAAAAGTTGCATGCAATGGCTTTTGGTAAGAAATAACTGCAACAAGACTGAGCCATATCTAGCGTAAAAGATTCAACTTCATTACCACAAGCCTTGGGAACAGTCAGATGAATGCTAATTCCTTTCAAAGTTATGCAGTCTCCGATATTTTACAAAATTCTAAAAACATTCCTATATTGAAACCAGATTAATTGAGATCGTAACTGTTGATTACTTGCATCTCATCTCCATTGTATGCTGAGAATATAAGTGTTCGTGAGCAATTATTCTTGAATACTTCGTAAGCAGTACTATAAATAGTCAAGAATCTAAAACAATCTCCTCTGGAATGATTGGTTACCTGTGAGGTGGAGCCACTTAAGCATGACCTTATAGAAAATAACTAAAAATGAGCCATGGATTATGTGCAAGACAAAAGATGTTGCATGGAGCTGTTAGATATCCATAGACCATACGGAATGCTGCAGCTGAGATTGTGGCACGAGGCTAGGACTCACTTAAACTGGAGAACAAGTCATAAGAGTTGTGTGTATCAACCAAAATGTAAAAGGAGCTGATCTTCCGGTGTTCGCGTCGGAAGTCGGATGTTCGGCTCGAGTCAGATTGGGACACCGACAATTTCCCTACTAATCTTCAGAATGTATTTATTGATATTATTAGATATTTAACGCTTTTTTTTGGCAGGATTCATTGCACCTTTCGGCAAGCGAAAAAGAAGAGTTTATCTTGCATATTTCAGAACTTTGTGTTATTATTAAATTCTAGATTCATGTTATGTTGCTCAATTGTAGACCTCTGTCTTCCCGATAAATGCACATGCTATTGCCACTAAATCTGTGTGATTGAAGTCAATTCTTCCTCTCACATCCCATAAGAAACAAGCTGATAGCAGTTGAGAGTACCGATCGCCATCTAGTTTTTACGGTCTTTGCAGTATAATACACACGTGATGTATGATACTTATATTCCCAGTTAGTTTTGATATGATTCCATCTAACTACAATGGCCTGGACTTCGGACTATTGGGTCTCAAGTTTCCCTGTGAAGTCGGGTTGAACAATGGCACGAAAACCCATTCATGGCACACTCTGCAGAGTTTCGCCGGATTCGAAGGATACAGAATGAGCGAATGCGCGGTCAAGAGCTCGGTCTTTAAGGTAAGGCTTGAATTTCTCCAACTTGGTTCCATCTCCGGCGGCTGTCAAAAGTTCTGTTGGACTTGAATTTGTGATATGTTCCGGTTCTTTTGTGACAGAGCGCATCTTGACCAGTCCACTTGTGAATTTCAAGTTCTATGAACAGACTCCCCATTGACTTGACCTTCAAGATGAGCCTCTTCCCATGTCTCCTCCATAAGTATTTCTCTAGAATTTTATATAATTCTAGAAAACCCCATCTCATGCCCCAGATCAGATCAATTTAATCAATGAGATCTGACATAAAGAATTGAAAATTGATGTATGAGAGTGGCAGCACTCTTCTGTGCAGGAGCAGTACAGCAGGGGACTTTTATCGCCCAGTATATTGTTTTCTCCGTATTCATTGTGTTAGATACTACTTAGCGCTAAAAGTTAATTCATGTCTTCTTCGTTGAGATATTGACCCGGTAAATGAACCTGGCACAATTGAGGGACTCAATGTTTGTCCCGCAGAGGGCTCTGGAGTAGCAATCTGCTGACCGTACTTATTTGAGGCAATCTCGCAGGAGGTAGAGAGCTTGTTATTGACAATTAGACAACCCAGTCTGATTTAACTCGGGTTACATTCAGTTATTTAGTTTATCATTACATACGAAAATAAATCCGAATTATCAATTATACTATTCAATTGTACGTGAATAAAATTGTTATTATAGCATACAGTCCTGAATCATGTATTTTTCCATGCCAACTATAAGATTTCCTTGAATGAATATTTATTTGCTTATATAACTGACCATACAGTTAGAATCGACGTATAGTAATCACGAAAATGACCTGGCGAGGTTTAATTACATGAAGTGAAGATGGCATTGGTTGCGGCAAAAAGAGATATGCAACAAAAAAATTCAGATATTGAAGAGTCGGATCTAGGTAATCCAACGCAGTTAGTATTATGGTAAGTATATCGTTGGGAAATTAACTTACATGTATGCACGAATCGTGTAACCAACTCCTTTGAAGTCAGGTGTTGAGTTCGAACTCTATATATTTTTCGATTCCCAACAACATCAGAAACGGATGCGGGTGTGGATGAATGATACAGAGGAAAATGCCGCAAACATAGCCATTTGAGGAGAGCGTCAAGCTTTCTGGCCAGTTTTTTTCCGAAAGATGGGGTTTGACCAATTACTACTTGAGCGCGATGAAACGAGGCCAACATAAAGGAGCTCAAAGATTATTCTGAGAAGTTTTTAAATCTCTTGGACACGATGCCAATACCCGCCATAGAATGGTATGTGACTGGAGTGGGAAAGTACCATGAATCTTTCATCAAAGATCGGACCCAGTATTTTGGAGGTAGTGATACAAGCAACAAAGTCATACGAAATGTCAAATGATATCGCCACATCGACTTACCCCCAAATGATAGTCCCGTCATATCAAAGCCAAGGGCAAAGAATTAAAGAGGGGATCACCTCTACCGACAATTCTTCCTAAATCCGAAGAGGAGCATACCTCAAGACTACACTCTTAAGCAACGAATGGAGGTAAAGTCTGAAGAAAAACGAGAGAGATCGTATTAAGGAGGAAAGGCGGAAATGAGTCTAAAAGTGGACAATTAACTAAATCCTTGGACGAGTTAAAATCCAATTGGTTCATCAGATTGTTGCAAATCGCCTATGCATATTAGAATTCATGTAACGCTGCACGATTTGTAGAAAATCAAGACACACCAATTCGGAACATTAGTCGAGAAATAGCTTCGTGTTCAATGGGACCATTATATTGGGAGCCTTCCACCTATAAACTCTAATCCAAAGACTAGTCTTACATGGTCTATGATGGAGGAACCACTCCAATTACACCTGTGTAGATTGTGCTACAAGAATTGGCCATCACCATAGAATGGAGGAAGAGGGTAGCATTGGAAGCTCTACATATAAAGTTCAAAGCTTGTTAAATTGCCGAGAAGTATGACATTGGTCCCCACATTGCCTTCACAAGGTTTTGATGGGAAGGCCCTCGTTGTCTGTAGCCAAACTTATTACAAAAGACAAACGAAGATGTTGGACTTTCACATAGCAAATGATATACATTGCTAAATATATCTCTCATGGACTACGTGCAACGACTTGGGAGGCTCAACATCAAATTTGGAAATCAATGATACCAATAAGTCCTTTGAAATTTTCATTCAAAGTCATTCTTATAATTTAATGTGCAGTATTTGGTATGATAGGGAGTGGAAGAGTACTTGGACTTTGAAGATAAATAGCTATTAGAAGTAACTGGGGGCAAAGTGATACTGTGGGACGATGTTGTTGCATCCTATGACCATCGAGAGATCGTGATTAAGTCGGCGTGACCTTGAACGTCAAAGGCTTTACGCGAGGAGAATCTTAACCAACTGTGTAATCCCCAAACTTATCTTGATGTAATTGCATATAGGATAGTACCATTTTCATATCCAAGATATATATATATATATATATATATATATATGCCTCAAGTAACAAGAAACATTATCTACTAAATTTTACTGATGCCACACTCCATCAAGGCACGAGTGTCAGATCTTTCTATATGAAATTTTATATATGATTAACGGTGACTGATATAGATGGATGGATCTTTAGGTTGTGCAAGAATTATGTGACAATAGTGCTCTGCAATTTTAAGGCTTGGACGGTCTCCTTTGTGCTATGGAAATTAACAGTAGACATGTGTGAAAAAGTTTTATGAGACTCTTGTAGAACGCTTATGATGAAAAGAAGACATATATGCGGAGCATTGTTTCAAATCTATTTTATTTTGTTATACTTAGTATTAAAAATCAGTATATTCGTACTTGGTCATGGTCATCAATACACGTCGGCTTCAATTTCTGTGTTGGCTATTTTTTTGTGTGAAAACATGCTCTCGTGTACATATGGCATCACTTATATATATCGTAAATATGTATACGAAATTGTATATTATTTACACATGAGAATATTAAGATATTTGGCCTTTCCACGCATGTAAAGCCCAATTAAATATATGTTTTTCTTATATTGTTGTATTGTACAAAGTAATCCGGAATATTTTACTGGCTCACTGGGAAGGTAATAACATAACATACAAAACATTGACAAAGAGTACTGGTTATTCCAACTGTTTTCAAAAAAGTAATCGACTGGCATTCGTCAAGTTGCAAGTGGAAGCGGAACATTCCACGACGACGCAGTTGGAGAAGTTTGACATGGTCGATGGTCGGGAGAGTACGCGGTTCGAGAGCTCGTGCTCACGCGGTAGGGGACGAAGTGGATGAACCGAGTAGATAGTGTCACTGGAATGGTGCCATGTCACGGACAGTTTATCCAGAAGGCACGAAGAGGAGAAGGAAGGGAAGGGAGGGGAAGGAAGGGACGAGGCGAGCAGAGCACGGAAGCAAAACTTCTCGCGGGCGTCGTCTCGCGGACTCTTGTGATCTTCGAACGACAGTCGACAGAGATGGCCATGGCGTGCGCCCTCGCCACTTCGCTCTCGTCTCTCGCACTCTCGTCTGCCGCCTCTTCGTCCATCGTCTCCTCCTCCTCTTCGTGTCACCAGGGCCTACGACGGACAGGTTCGTGGAGCTATCTTTCCCTTCTCCGCGTGCTGTGTTGTGTTTGCGGAATGTTCCTATTTTGTGACCGTGTGTGCTAATTCCTGGTGGAAATTGCTCGTGGTTTAACAATTTGTCATTTTGAGATTTCTCCAGTGTCGAATGCCCTTTGCGTTTTGAAATGTCGTTTGGTGTCCCAACTACGTTCAGCATTCACGGGGACACTGCATTCAGCTCTGTCTGCCACCATAGTCTCTGTGGTTACAAATGACACGAATTCGAGGATTTGAGGGTTTTGAGCCAAGCAGAAGGTTCGGTGAGAATAGGGGCTCGGTATGATTGGCATCGGAATGTTGAATAATTCAATGGATGGAGCCATATCTGACGGGCTCTTTCCGTGCAGGTTTTAAACTCGTCTTAGCGCCAGTAGGGAAGGTTTCATGGACCGAGAAGAGAAATGTGATCGTTAGGGCAGCAGCCGAAGAGGCGGCCGGAGATAGCACTCCCAGTGCTCCATCTGACCCTGCATTAGTTCTCAAGTTGCAGTCAGAGCTCCTCAAGAAAAAAGCTAAGAAGTTAGAACTCAAGAGGAAGAGGCTGGTTCGCAAGCGCCACCTGAGGAAGAAGGGCCGCTGGCCACCAGCTAAGGTCAACAAGACCAAGAATATCTAGGAATTTTTATAAGTTGGATAGGAAAATTTGTCTATAGGCTAATTTGCTGCAATGATTCTGGCAGTAGGGCCTTCGAAGTTGCTGGTTCTACTCCCTATTCTGATTTGAACAGCATGTACATTGAGCTGAGCCCCCATGCAACGTTAGTGCAGTTGTGAGTACTCAAATGAGCTCTTGCCTTCGGCAGCGATATCAATGCAAAATACACGTTCGGTGATTGATTCTTTTCATCCGCACTTGCGAGGATTAGCCGCCGGCGTTGGCTTCTCACTGCCTTTTTATTTCTATGCAACATATTGCCAGTCCTGGGCGAGTGGATTCATCTTTGTTTCTTATGAGTCGGATACACCGTTCTGTGAAAGTCCAAATTCTCATTGCGTCGTGCGTAAAGTCCTCATTTAAGGAAGGCTTGGCTGAATTTGAATCAATAATGCAGCGTCTTTTAAATGTCGTTTCGGAATTGAAATTCTGTCTGTGAGAGTCTGCTTTCCTTCAGTTCTGCGATTTGGCTTGTTTTCCTTACTGTATTCTCAATGGCCGAGCCACAGTTCTGAATCTTTTCATCAAAGTGAAATCCTTGACAGATTTGCTCCATTCCATGATGTACTTGTGTTACGTGGCTAAAGATTTGAAATTGTTTCTCTGTAGTATGATAACAATCATCAACACAGCCGAAGTTTTACATGACCGTCATTAGAGTGCAATAAGAGACAATATCTTCACTTTTATTCAGAAGGTCATCTTCATGGCCGTGAGTAGATTCCGCACCACCGAAAACACGGTAGTTCCCAGGCCATCACTTGAAATGTGTGTCGTTGTCCTTCCTTGAAGGTCTAGTACTGTTACTCACTAGAAAGATATATTTAGTGTTACCTGCATGCAATGCCATCATAGTGTCCTGTGACTACATGTTCTTTGAGGTGCAAAGAGGCCTACCACAAACTTGTCACACTTCAACGGAACCGCATTCACATCGGAACCTCACCGTTCACGTGATTCGACTTCTATTTGCAAATCTCACTGCGAAGTCTGGAGTTAAATATGTCGTACATGAACGTACTGCACGGAAAATGCCATCAAGGCAGAAAGGTTTTTCAGAAACCAATGCAGATTATTAGCTCTACAACATCAGAGCTTTTAATTGACGAAATCTGGAAACCTATGTGCCAAGTATGTAATCGATCTTATTTCATCTTGTGTTGAACCCAATGGTCGGTATTATCCAGAGCTGACCAGCGTGCTTGTTTTGCCGAACTAGACGGTACACTGGTTTCTTGTCACCTGCCTGTAAATATTTTTGACACACTCATCATCCACCATTGATAGACGTTCAAATTGAGAACCAGTTACGAATAACGTTTGTTTTGGCATCAAAAGCCATGCAGAAGTTCTATACAATTTCCACTGAGCTTTATAGAGATATACATGATAGTCCCTGACTGAGGGGAGCGTTGCTGATTCTTCTATCCTGCGTGATGACGGTCGTGCGCTACCATCCAAAGTTCGTCTACGAAGTGCTCTGCTTCTACAGCTGCTGAGGAATATGACATTGACTCCTCTACAGAGTTCTCAGACCGGTATCAATATCTTGGCTTGGGAAAGGCGGATAGATCGAGTAACAAAAAAACCTCTCGCTCTCAAATGCTCTGAAAGGTAAAGGAGAAAGGAAAGAAAAAGAGTGAACCTGGAAAAGAATCAATACACAAAGGGTATAAGAATTCTTCGCTCTTTGGGATAGTCATTGAACTTGCTCAGGTACCACTGATGGTTGCTTACAGCTCTAGGGGCCAGATTAGCTATGGTGTAAATGAAGAAAGCAAGCCCAGCTGGAGACCAGGTCATGATGGCCCATCCCAACCATTCTACCATCTCCGAAAAATAATTCGGACATGTAATGAACTTAAACAAACCGGCCTTCGGAATCTTGTAGCTCCTATCATCTTCGTCTGCCCGCAGTGAGAAGAGGTATGAGTCGCTCCAAAAATTGCCCAAAAATCCCAGCCCAAACAGAGTTGCTCCGAGAATAAACTTCGGACTGGTAAGCCATGAGTCGGGGTATGATCCATAGTTGGACAGCCACCGAGCTTGGACATAGCTGTTGAGAATGTTGAAAGCGAAAGCGCAAGCTGCCACTATGATTGGCATACCCTTGCCTCGTACTTTCATGCGCATGGGATAGATGAGTACCCTGTTGAAGTAATGGACCTGGTGTAATCTGAGTAGAATCAATGGTACACGACCCAACTTTTGCTCACCCATAGAATAGAACAAAACCATTGCCCATAGAGCAGGACTCTCCATCACAATCCAGCACTCACGTACTCCCCAGGCAGGACCCCACCCACGCTTTACATGACGGCCATAGGGAGCCGTTATACGGTCACAAGCCCAGTAAGTTACTAGAGAGAGTGCAAAGAGTCCCCCCAGTATCCAAGGATACCACGCCTCGTCGTGAATTTCAAACGTTGGCATTGCTTACACAAGCTAGACTGCCTTGAAGGAGATCTGCATCAGAAGAGCAGATAACATCACATGAGGTACATCTATCATTTTGAATGAGGAATTTGCAATTCTTCTCTTTTCGTCAATCCATATTTGATAAGAATATCAAAATAAAATGGAAGTGTGCCACCAAAAACCACCATTTTGCTTTTCTATCTACAGCATAAGAAAAGAAAAAATCCTGACGATGAGACATGTATTGATCTGGATTATCTAATGTGTTAGTAATATTTGATGTGCAGAGAACCATACGGCTTGTGGGATTAGAAAATAGTAGCAATGTGCATCCAAATTGCACCAGTTGTAATTCAGAGAGTCAACTGTACATTGAGTACGGAAATGTGCAACTAAAGACTCCCTCTCAGCGCTCCAAGAAATAAAGATTCAAAACCCAGACATGAAAGGCACCTACGAATTTAGTAGGACTGAATACATGTACCACATACGAGCAGCCAAACTACGACTAAAAGTCAAGGGCTCTACTACTGAATGTATAAAACACCAAAACGAACATCACAAAGACAATCATCTCTAAGGCAGCACCACCAGACTCGAAGTAGATGAAAGAATCAAGGATGGCGCCTGTAGGTAGGTCATTTCTGTACACTAAGAACTGCGGCCAGGACGGCACTGTGTATGAACGACAGACATATACATATAAGAACAAGTTGCCAATCCAACGTTACTTTCACCGAAAATACTAAAAAATTCAGATTATTTTGATCCATTTCAAAGCTATGAATTTCTTCACAGACAACGAATTCTTCAAGAAAATCGTCCACTTTGACAACGCCATAAAATTTGGTGACGATCACTGATGAACTCCGTCATAATCCTGTCATCAAGGTTCGGTATCGCATTGTCTCAATCCCGCAAGACTTGGAGCGGGAGTCCTCGGGCACAAATCGAGAAATATACCACGTTTCGATAAATAAAGGATTTCTCAATCCCAGTCTGTGAAACTGATTGAATTTGGACATCAAGTTTCAACTCGGGAACATGTCTTTCGAATACTTGCAGAATACAGTTCACCCTAAAAGTGATGTTTACAGATATAACACAAAATCCCAAAGAAAAGTTATTTTAAATCCTCTCACATCAAGAAGGCAGGCTCAATCCAGTTTGCAGACTTTCAATCCTGGCCTTCAAACCAGAGCAGAAAAAAAATACATTATTCGAATCGCATCGTACAGCAAACACACACAGATCTGAACGCCATCACTTCATCCCCACAAAACAGTTGACTCTTCAAATTGGATCCGGAGTCGAACCATGCTCTCAAAGCAGTAATTATTGACATCCTCTAATGATCAGACTCAGAGGCACTTTCACGTGTCTGGAAATAGCATATACGTACAGGAGTGAAATTACAGGCGTGGGAGAGTATCAAATTCTCGAATTTCTCGAAAACTCCACTAAATTGATGGATAGCACAGAATTAAAAGTTCTGCCTTCTCGAGCAGTAGAACGATCAGAAAATAGGAGGCATCGGGGGAGGAACACGGGACGTGTTCGACTCGGCGGAGACGCCGAAGGAAACCGCGTTGACGATTGTTCCGATCTTCCCTTTTTTCCCCGCAGAACGTAGCGAATTGGAAATGATTGTCCACTCGGGAGCAAATTCGTGTACGCAGTCGTCGAGAAGCGACGTGGTGCGGACGGCTCCATGGCGCGACCAATCACATGTTGGTACCAAACTTGGCCGCAATACTCTTCACCGCGCTGTGGTTGACTGCGTGGGCTGGATAGGCTTTATCTCTCCATTAGAGCAACCGTAATAACGTAATATCGATTGATTGCGAACGTAAAATTGTTTACACATTAGCAGGAGAAAAAGATAAATGGAATCCTAGCGTTCAAACTCCATAGTTAGCTTCTACCGCTTTTTAGGAATCATCCACTTATGTGTTTGCGTGTCACAATCATAATCATGTGCAATTCGTAGATATGTGTGGTGCATGACATGTAAGTTGGATCTAATAATTTTTCATGGTGCAGTAAGAATTATATTTGATTGATTTTCTATAATATGAGTGGCTTCATATGAGGGATTTTGAGGTATATAACCTAGTCTTATTTACAAGATTGCTCAAAGCTGCAATCACCAAAGAGTAGATAAATTGCTACTCCAAGGAAATCCTAAACCAACTTCCTAAGTCTTTATTATTTATATTACCCGGAGATATGAATTTAGAGATATGAAAAATTAAAATTTCTGTTGTTGCTTTGTAGCTGCTAATTTTGTCACTTCAGCGGAGCAAAGTTACATTGTCAAAAAAAATAATAACATTGTTGTGGTGACATCGTATGGAACATATGGACAAGTATGCTCACGGCTTGGCTAGCGGCTAAAGTTTTTTGTTAGCCAGCTAGCATATCGATTTATTGACTCACAGAGTTTTTTATTGTATTTAAGTTCATTGAACAGAACCTTCCATGACTGCAGCTTCATGATAGTCTTGATAGAATTGTAGCACCAACGGAAACGCTTGGAATTGGCAATAGCTCTGCTATCCAACAACCTGGACTCGGACGGCAAAAAAAACGGCCACTTTCTACCCACCACTATATTGCATCTCCGCATGATTTGTCGCTCGTTTTGATGAAATGAAAAAAGTCCATGATCTATTTTGAGACATCATCTCGTTTAGTGTTAGATTCAAATATATGAGCTCGTGCCTTACTACTAACAATAAGCATGCTTCATATGCTACTTTTAAACATGGAGGAGTTAGTATGTTAATGTGTGCCCTTGATATCATATTGCTGCCGAAGAATTTTCCAAGATTTTTTTCCATCAAAGTGATTTTTTCTTCATCTATCTTTGGAATGAAAAGATTGAGGTTTATTCTAGGCATTGATAATGGTCCAATCAATTGCTCATAATACATCTTCAACTTTGCCATGAACACTTTTGCGGCATTCTTCAACTCCGATGTGGTGAAACTTGTACTCAATGTATCATTAATGGTTTCTTGGCAATGCGTTGTGAACGCTTCATAGATTATAGATTGATTCAATAATTTGATTCTGCGTATTGTCCGCTAGATAGGATGATTATATTGTAGAAGTGAGCAAGGAAATCTTTGAAATACTTCACTGTCTTCCATTAATTGAGCTCAAGAAAAACTTTGTAGGAGTGCACTATACTTCATTGAATCAAGCTCAAGAAAATCTTTGAAGTACTTCACAGCAGAATGGTGTAGCAGAATGGATGAATCAGACATTTCTATCAAAGGCACGATGTATGCTTTCGAATGCAGGTCTTGTTAGGAGTTTTTGAGTAGAGGCAGTTTCTATGGCTTGCTATCTTGTAAATCGGAGTCCTCATATTGGCATTGGATGCAAGATAACCCATAGAGGTTTGGTCCGGATTGGCAACAGATTACTCAAATCTGAGGTTTTTTTGTTGTGTTGCTTGTTATCATGTGGATGATGGCAAACTAGAACCGAGGGCGAAGAAGGAGGTATTCATGGGCTATGGAACATGTGTGAAGTGTTACAAAATTTGGTTGGATGGGAAGATTATACTTAGCAGAAGTGTAGTCTTCGATGAGAGTTCGAAATCTAATACTGTGGAGATAGAGGTTGGAGCTGAAAAGAAGAAAGGTGAAGGCAAGTTCAGAATTGAGTGATCCTAAAGATTCTGAAGCGCCTGGTACATCACCGCCAGAAACGGAAGAGCAAGAATGGGAATAGTCTGAAGAGAATATACCACCAAAGGAGTTGGTACACGAGAGTTTTGCTGCACATCGCACACGGAGGGATAAGAAACTGCCTACAATACTAGAGAAAGACTACTTGGTGGGGTATGCCTTGCAAGTAGCCAAAGAGGTGGAAGATGAGCCGTCTACCTATTGGGCTCCGATTACTAGTTTCGAGTCAGCACAATGGATTGCCGCTATGGAAGAAGAGATGGAATCTCTTAGCAAAAACTCAACATGGGAGCTTCAACCCACTTGCAAGTGATCATCAGATGATGATCACTTGCAAGTGGGTTTTTAGAAGAAAGGAAGGAAACACTACAGTGGAAGGCGTCAAGTATAAAGCAAGAGTAGTTGCAAGAAGGTTCAGTTAGAGAGAGGGAGTTGACTACAACGAAATATTCTCACCGGTGGTGAGACATACTTCAATCAGGGTGCTACTAGCAATGGTTGCACATCAGAAATTAGAGCTTGAACAACTAGATGTGAAGACAACTTTTCTACATGGAGAGATGGAAGAGGAGATATATATGAACGAGCCGGAGGGGTTTCAAGTTCCTGGAAAAGAAGACTACGTGTGCAAGTTGAAGAGGTCCTTGTATGGACTAAAGCAGTCTCCGAGGCAATGGTACAAGAGGTTCGTTGGCTTCATGCTGAAGATAGGCTATCAAAAGTATGAGTATGATTGTTGCGTGTATCACAAGAAGTTGCATGATGGATCACGCATTTACCTAGTTCTATACGTGGATGACATTCTGATTGCAACTTAGAATATCAAAGACATTAGAGAACTAAAGAGGTATCTCAATGCGGAATTTGAGATGAAGTATCTAGGTATTGCTCAGAAAATTTTAGGAGTTGAAATCTATAGAGATAGAGAGAGGAGTAAGCTTTCATTGCCATAGAAAGGTTACAACAAATCTTACACAGATTTGAAATGCAAACCGCTAAGTCTATAGATACTACTATGGAGTCTAACATTACGCTAGGAATGTACACCATTCAGACGGAGGAGGAGAAGAAGTACATGTACAAGTTTCCATATGCTAGCGCAGTTGGAAGCTTAATGTATGCTATGGTCTGTACTCAAACAGACATAGCATTCACTGTTATGTCTAGTTAGTCGTTTTATGGCTCATCCAAGTAGGGAACATTGGCAGGCTGTGAAGCTTATATTTAGGTATCTCAGAGATACGTCAGACATTGACCTATGCTATGGGGCTAATGAGGATATCTTGGTTGCTGGATTCTCATATTCATACTATGCAGTTGATATTGATAGTAGGAGATCAATGACAGGATATGTGTTCACTCTGGGAGGTTCCGTTGTGAATTGGAAGTCTACGCTACAGCCAACGGTGAATCTATCAATCTCGGAAGCGGAGTACATGGCTTTGACAAAAGCAGCAAAGGAGGGGATTTGGTTAAAGCATATTGTCAACGATCTAGGCCTACATCAAGATCAAGCGATAGTTCATTGTGATAGCTTAAGTGCGATATGCTTGACAAAGGACCAGGTTCATCATGAGAGAACGAAGCACATCGACATCAGATATCATTTTCTGAGAAACGAGAGCAGGATGAGGGTTAAAAAAGTGGGAACTGATGAAAACTCCACAGATATGTTCACGAAGCCGGTTCCGAAGAACAAACCTGAAATTACTCAACATTATGAATCAGTGAGATCCTTCGCGGCCATGACGATCCCAGTGGAATCCAATGAGTCTCTGTGATGGGAAACACTTGCGAAAAGAGAAGACAAGCTTAATTCACGAGAAGAGGAGCAACGGTTATTGACGAGTAATTCAAGTCAAGGTGGAGATTTGTTGAAGATAGTGCCTTGAATTAAGCAAAGGCAACAAATTGTCTTGAAAGTTTGAATAGTCAAAGCGGTGGAAGGAATATCATATTTTTAGAAGTAAATTGTGCGGCGGCCAGCACTTTTCTCCAACGATGTTTTTTGAAAACTTGTGGTCTGCTAGGGTTTCCTAGCTATATAAGAAACCTGCAGGATTCATACTATTTCATGCTCTTCATTGTAATCTTTCTCTCAAGGAATAAAGTCTACTCTTTGTCCATGGATGTAGTTAGCACAAATTGTGTTAGCAAACCACGTAAACTTCTGTATTTTGTCTTTCGTTCATTATCGTGAGGTAGAGTCAAGCACGTAAAATCATAACAAACACTTCTGCTAAGTATAATCTTCCCATCCAACCAAATCTTGTAACCCTTCACACCTGTTCCATAGCTCATGAATATCCCTTCTTCGCCCTAAGTTCTAGTTTGCCATCATCCACATGATAAGGCAACACAACAAAAAACCCTCAGATTTGAGTAATAACCTTTTCAGATCATACCTCAATAGATATCTTGCATCCAATGCCAGTATGAGTACTCCGATTTACAAGATAGCAAGCCATAGAAACTGCGTCTGCCCAAAAACGCCTAGCAAGTATTGCATTCGAAAGCATACATCGTGCCTTCGATAAAAGTGTCTGATTCATCTGTTCCGCTACACCATTCTCCTATGATGTCCCTCGAACAGTGTGATGGCGAGCTATTACCCTACCCTTGCAGAATTCATCAAACTCCGATGAACAAAACTCCAAGCCGTTGTCTGTGCGCAGCCTCTTCACTTTCTTTCCCGTCTAATTCTCCACTAGTGTCTTCCACTCCTTGAATTTGCCGAATGCATCACTCTTGTGTTTCATCACAAATATCCAAGTCATCCTTGAAAAGTCGTCAATAATGCTCAAAAAGTATTTCACAACCGCCAATCGACTCAACTCGAGATGGACCCCAACAATCACTACGGATGTAATATAAAGTGTCTTTCGTTCTATGAACCGCCTTTGAGAACTTGCTACGCTGTAGCTTTCCAATCACGCAGTGCTCACAAAACCCTAGGCTCTTGGGCGTGTGCCCGATGAGATAGACTTTCTTGTGAAGATCCTGTATTCCACGTTCACTCATATGGCCGAGCCTCATATGTCATAGCCTTGTTTGATCAGCTTCGTGAATCTTGACTGAGACAACTCCAACTGACCTTATGATCGCCGAACCTTGCAATACATAGAAAGTGTTAGACTTGATTACCTTGAGCAGTACCTTCGAACCCTTGTAGACGCATAAATCTCCACTTTCACCTTTGGAGCTAAAACCGTTCTTGTTAAGTAGACTTAGAGAGATCAGATTCATTGTCATGTGTGGTACGTGTCTAACCTCGTTCAAAGTACATGTCTTTCCATCATGGTTCTTGAATCTAACTGAGCCAATTTCTATTATCTTGCAAACAGCTCCATTCGCCATGTGAATGGAACTTCCATCTGTTTGGCAATAGCTTGAGAAGAACTCCCTGTTAGAGTATATGTGATAAGATGCTTCAGAATCTATGTAGACTTCACTCCAAAATGTCCCAACTCTTCATGAGCATGTTACACAATTGGTATCTCTTCGTACATTAGAAAACATGATCTTGCTCCTTGGCACTCACTGTGTCTGGCACCATATTGGTCTGAATAACTCCAATATTAATGCATCATCGTGAATATCACGCTGATCCATAGCGTGTGAGCTTTAAACCTCACCCTTAGCTTAGTGCAGTATACTTCATTGAATCAAGCTCAAGAAAATCTTTGAAGTACTTCACTTCACTCCATTCAAACAAACTCAAAGTTAGAATCTTACAGTAGTACTCTGGTATGTTTTACAAAGATTGGAATGTATCCATCAGCATGTAGGTTGAATCAATCATTGTGAACATGTTGTTTCACATGTTTTCAACATCAAGGTTAAGGACTTCTTTAGTCTCGTCATGTTGCGTCCCTAGAATAATTCAAAATTTTTTCAAATCAACTCAAAGTCAAAATGATAAGCAGATTGTCTTTTAGCGTTGCACAAACAACCAAGATGTAGTCTATCATCCAAATTGACATCAAACTTGTTGTTCAGTTTGTCTCTTGAATATTGTAATGGAGCAATCATTTCACTTGCATTGTTTGTTATCTTAACATGAATCTTCGTGAGTACATTTGTTGTTATTAACTATTTCTAAATAACCGTCATTGTGAGTCACAAATTGTAAGCGGATGGAAAACATTTGATATAAAAAACTCAATTGCGTAATCTCTAAAAATCATCTATAAATGAAGCTTAATAATAAATAACTTTGAAACGATATAGTGGACTACTCGTTGCAATTCTTCTCGCAATCAATTTAACAATCTTAAAATTGTTTGGTTGAGACAACCATCATGTTAGCTATGACACAAATAAGAACTAAGCACAAATAGCCAGGCCATAACAATTTGAAACAATTTAACTTCTTTTTGTAAGTAAAAAAAAGTTGATTTTACATAAAATAAAATCTTTGTTGTGTCAATCATCCAATCTATCACACTCGTCATCATCTTTAACTTTGTCTTGTCATTGTTATTGTTGTGCAATTCCATATATAAACCATATTTTGAGAAGTTGATTTGGAAAGAATCATGGAACAATGCAACTTCAATTGATTCGTGAATGATGTGATGATTGTTCTTCAACTGAAGAATAAAGTTTGATTTCGCCGAGGTACTTGAATAGATCTTCAAACATGATTTGTTTTCAACACAACAAATTCATCAAATTTTGATACAGCTAAAAAATATGGACAAATCCAAAATGTTTGTCCTCGTGCAACTTTCTGTGGACGATACTGCCATTGAAGATGAAAGGGAGAGTAACACTGCAATGCTACCATTATTGAAATCTTCATACAACCTCATATCAACAAAGATAAGAACTTGAATTCTATAGCCACAAACTCTCACTATGAGATTTTTGCAAATTTGCAAACACCGTCATAGACTTGTCAATATAGTCAATTAGCTACAGTGGCAAGGCTAAATGGCTAGCCGGCTAAATTTGAAACCCTAACTCTTTGCATCGGCTAGCCAAAAATTTACCTGTGAACATGCCTAAACATGGACGGACAAATCAACATTGCTTATTGACTCTTTACATATGCAACAACAAGACTGCACTAGAGGGAGGTTTAATTTATCAATATGATTTTTTTAATGAAAAAAAAAAATTCAACAAATATTGAAAGCAACTAGAACAACAAATCCAACTCAAATTTTTAACTGCACTTTGATGGTATTAATATTAACATTTCCAAGAGAAAATATTATATGGTTCATCTTTGTGACTATTAATTACATTTTCAGTTGAAAAGTTGATAATTCTTATATATTATAACATACTAATATAAATTTTAGTATATTTAGCAAAATATATTTATTAATAAGAGTTCATAAACTTCAAAAATCAGATATAACTGAGCTTTAATTTAAATTAATATTAAGTAAAAATAATCAATATTATTGAAACTCATCAAATTATTATTATATTTAAGTTCATATAATTATTTTAAACACAGATTTGTGGTTTTCTTCAGTAGATTATCATCATATTCCAGGTGATGTAATCTCGCATACGCGAATCACACACACTGAAATGTCCAACTATTTACGAGAGAATCATAAACACAACAGTCAATACTAATCCATCTTTACAAACATATATAATTTGATTAAAGGTTTTCGACTTCGAATGACTATCAAGCATGGAACACTCAACAGCAGAAAAATGTATTTTGTTATAAAATACTATTCATTCTTATTCTCAAAGGTTCTGCAACAAATTGGAACAACATTTGTGTGGATAAACAAACATCTCGTGAACATGCAGGCGATCATTGAAAGGTAATATCTAGCCAAACTGCAATAACCATTTCGTTGAGGCAGAATTCCACTCTTACATAGAAGAATGAGAACCAAGATTCTTGTCTACGTTCTAAAAGTGATGACTTGTTTGTGATTTTTGAAGAGAATGATTACTTGCTTTTGTTAACATAAATGTGCCAAGATCGAGTAAAAGAAAAGGTAGGGCGATGATCGAAAAGATGTGCCACTTTAGTTAAATCCCAATTGTTCCTGCAGGTTAGTAACAAAAATAACTCAGGAGTGGTGGTGCAACTTCCTGAAAGCAATCGAAAAAATAATGAGGATGCCGATGATTGATAGTTCAAAGCTTTAGCCAAACATGTGCAGATAACAATCCAGGAAACACCAGATTCAGCATGAAGACACTGTAAGGGAAATGTTGGCAGGTACCGCGAAGTTACCAAGGTGTGCAAGCTTGGTCTCTATGGACACCGCACAGAGGCTGCAGTTGATGATCCCAGTTCCGCAGTTCACATCCAAAGGTAGAAACACACGACTAGCCACTCCTTGATTTCTCATACCACTCCTTGGATGTTGTAAAGAGTGATGATGGGGGCAGATTGTTTACTGGTGTACAAGAATATTTGTTCTCAGATGCAACTGTAACAACTTCTGACCTAGTCCCACATAACAGGCATCACATTGTACACCAATTTACTTTAATCGATACGCCATGAGTTACATAAACAACAACATCACTGTCTGGGTGTGCTTCAAGCAAGAGATAGGGAGATAAAGAGAGACAAACACCCTAAAAGGACCGTCAAAGAGCACAGGAAGAATAGTCTCTGTCGATGACTAAACTCAGCCATGATGGGCTTTCATATTAGATTCAATGAGGCCGCCGTCACTTAATGGACCTTAACAACTCAAAAGGATGTGTGGCTGACTATATCGAAGATTCTACAGCATTGGGTAAGGATGAAAAACTGAGAGACTTCAAAATAGTCAATCTCGAAGTACAAAGGTCTCGGACACTTGCTGAAGTGTCGCGTTGGCTGGCCACCAGTTTCCTGATTAGCTCCGCTGCCTGCCAAGGTTGCTCCGTCTGGGCTGTTCTCGCTGCCAATTTTGTAGCAATGTCTAGGCCTTGAGGAGATTCTAGCACCTTGATAACATCACCAGGAGCGCCTGGAAAAGGAGACTTCAACAAGGTCATATAACCATCCACTTCTATCTGATCGGGCCTGTTGAGAAAGGTGTCGATCACCACGCCTTGCACCCTTTCTAGATGAGAAACAGCTGCAGATCTGAGGGACTCCAGGGACGCAGACAAATGGCTATCAATAGGTGCACTTGCCTGCTCACTTGACCCTGAACCTTTTTTTTTCTTCTTACCGCCGGAGGGTTGCAGCTGCTTAGACCAACTCTGTAAGTACAAAGTTAGCCATGTGAAGGACTCCGAAATGAGGCCGACCAGGACAGACAAGCCTGTTCCTGGAGCTAGAACTTTTAAACCATGTTCTGTATCGTTGAGTTCCCTCTGCAGACATTTGAGGACCTCGTCCACAACGTAGACTATAGTTTTTAGAAGCGATGCTACACTTGAACAACTCTTGGAATCACGACAAGATAGTTGGTGTGCAGTCCAGAACAACGTTGATGTCACCATTTCCACGGGCTTGACGCCAGAAGTCTGGATAGCGAGGAAAACGTCAGTTCCCACTGAAAGTTTCTTCAGGACTTAATACTCACTTTCCAATGACACTATGATCTGCATCCATAAGGACAACCAGCTATCACAGGAGAGCTCACCTCAAATGCTTGCTCTGAGGATATAGCCTCTTGTAACCAACCCTCCAACGAGTCGGCACGAAGTCCCATAGTCATCAAGTAACTATCGATAAGTTTCTCCAATTCAACCGCTGTATCACTCGCCCCCTGCTTAGCACTGTTTCTGTCCTTCGTGGTACTTAAAACCAGACAAAAAATCCGAGGAATTAAGCACCTCCTCTTCACTGCATTCCGCCATCGACTTTCTCTCCTCTTTTTCTCTTCCTGGAATATAGAAACAATCATAGATTGAAAGCATGTCCAGGACATCGACCTAACCAGGGTAGTGAGTGTTTGATTCTCAAATGACAGTAAGGACAGCATCCGATACCCTTACAAGTATCTCTACAGACGTCAATAACATTTGGATCCCAAGTACTTTACACAGCTAGCTTACTCCTCGAAACATATGCGCAACTTTTACTTCAATAAACCTTCATGACAGTATTATCTTTAACAAACATGGAATTGATTGCCTTAATCACTGGAGGAAGCTGAGATCTCCGGATATAAAAGTTGAAATAATTACTTCGGTCTCCACATGATGCCAACTCCTCTCCGCTCCAGCATTCCTCAATGGCCCTGTTAATGATCCGGCCCATTAGGTCTAGGCGACAAGCTTAGTCGGGGTTTCTGTAAGCCTCACCAAAAAAAGACACAGAAAATTGTAATGAACTTTTTACACTACCCACCAGCTAGCAAGCACTCGTCAGGCGCTGGAGACCACCAAGGTCGAGTTTGAAGATCCTCATTGAAAGTGAGTAAAAGCAGCTTCTCATCTCCACACCAGTCAAGAGGTTTCCTGCCGAAATCTAGTTCTGCTAGTGATAACTGCAAGTTCACATGGGAACAATTAAGAGAAGAGAATCGCAGCGGCTTCAGCGCACAGAGCTTTCACTACAGACGAAGGATCTAGAATGCAGAAGGAAGCACACCGGGAATCGAGGCTTTCAACTACAAATTGCATAACAGTGAAAGATTGACCCGCAACTACATATCTATACATATTTTAAGATATGTATTTTGATGACTGCTGAAGAATACTGTGTGAAAATTGTGGCTGCTTGTGTGAAGCAGTCAGAAATCGCACTACCGACATAACGTCATAAACACTTACCTCAACGTCCTCCAACGACTCAGCACGTAACTTCAGCGGGAATATGGATGCCTCCGAACGGAAAACGAGCCGTTGGTGTGATCTCTCAAGCCTCTCCTTAAATTCCACAAACTCAAGGACCTACAAAATTACAACGAAACAGAACTGAATGTTAGCAACCTGAACATGTACATAAGAAACATGAACCGAGAAAAATGTACAGTTGATGCTAACCGTGGACAATTTAGACCAAACTGCATCTTTAGTACTTGGCTCATCAGCAACCAAAAATCACGCACTTTGGAATACGTGGAGTGGTTGTACGCGAGAATAGTAAAATCTGCAGATTCCGACTGGTGATTGTCATAGAACTCCTTTCCATCTTTCAAAAGGCTCTGGAGATCAGACCATCGAGTGGAACTCAGCAAACCGGGTAACATCATATGCGATATGGTCTCCACTAAAATATATTTCACGTCCAGTGTTCTATACCTGTAAGCAGAAAGAGAAGGAATTGAGGTGTGAAAACCATGTACAGAGCGTATCTATATGGCATTTAATCTTCAGTGATAGAATTCACATGATTCAAACTCAGTATAATTCAACACAGGCTTATGCTTACCACTCTAGCGCTGGAATTATGGCAGATACCATTGTGTAGAGGTCTATTAGCAAGAGCTTGTACTGTGAACTAAACCTGCAAATCCCACAGAGTGCGTTATAATTAACGCTGAGAAGCTTCGACACATTGGTCGTGTATCTTGAGATTGAGATGATTTCAAACTCCACGTTTACACCTTAAAACATCCTCGCTTCACTGTTTATGGTGGCCTTTCAAATCACCTCATAAATAAATTTCAAACAAACTGAAGAAAATGAATCCATTTTCTAGGCCATCATGGATTCTTAAACTCCAGGGAAATACGTTGAAGTCCCCATACTGACTGCTAAATGCGGCGAAGGCATACCTTCTTGCATACAGGCCGAATTCAAGCACCAAAATGGCCTCAAGCAAGAAGCCCATGTTTTGGGTACGCCGAAATAGCTGTAAGATTTAGTCACGAACTATTAGGCGTGATAGAAGGCAGCGACGACTCCAGATGAGGGAAAATAACGAAAATTATCACGAATCACGAAGAAATTTAATATCTGCAGCCTTCATTACGAAGTACAAGATTGACCAGCCCGTGAACGTCCATATCCTCACCTCGACTAGAATATTAGTTGCCAAGACCAAAAGTTCCTCGCCATGCATGCTTTCCTGAGCATCTAGATCAGCCGAAAGCTCTAGGCTTTCTATATATAGGTTCGCGATATCCACTGCCCGCGAGCCCAAATCTGAACTCAAATAACCAGAAGTAAAGATTGTGATACAGGTGTTTCAAAAAAGCCCTCCATTTTCTAATGGAGGTCTTTTTGGAGTGGAGTGTAAGACACACATTATGCTCTAATACCAACCAGCATTACGCTGAAGCATAACTGAACAATCTGTATATATGCTGTCAAACCTTGCAGCGCATATACAGGCCATCAACTAACGAGCTCCGCTGACATCTCAGCTCAGCCCGCATTTCCAGCCAACACATACCTTCGTTTGTGCATGTTCCCTTTCCCATCAGCTTTTCTTCGACCTGAAATGCGGAGATCTTACGCCTCAGACGCTTGACCGGACTTTCGTTTTGTATTTGAGAGCTAAGTTCATGCAGATCCTTTGCAAGTTGATCTCTATGGCTCTCGTCCACATAATGAAGGTAATCTGCAATGTCTGATGAGAAACTCAAGAGCGCACCGAACCTACATATTCATTACGAAGTATCATCGCTGTTGAGTTGTGTGATCAAAACTCGTCAGATAGAGAAAAAAACTGAAGGATATCGTTAAGACAGACGGAGAAAACTGGTCCTAAAGTTCAACAAGCTATCAAAAATAAGAAAACAACTGGAAACAAGCGATTCGAGTCCTGCAATTTGGATAGTGCAGGCTTCGAGATAATAGCAGGCTTCTGCTAATCCACATCAAAGAATACACATTTGACTACCAATAGCAAGTTTCGAGCATGGTGGAAATTGGGTTCCATGTCTCCTCTCTTTCAAGCATGGCAGTTCAGAACCTACTGATCGATGAAGGGCAAAAAAAAAGATGGTTCTCCAAGGCACTCGTACTAACCTCTTAAAGAACGCCCTTATAGAGTCAGAAAGGATGACAGACTGTTCCTTTATTTGATCCTCTCCTCCAAACTTTCTTCGAAGCAAAAGGCGTCGCTTTTCGATCTCTACAACAGCCAAAAAGGGTCCTCTTCTCAGCTCTCCCACGGGCATTTCTTGCATTTCCAGAACCAGTTTCAAGACTTTTTCGAGCTTCTCGGTCACCTGAGATCGCGAGAGACAAGGTATTCAATTGACAAAGCATATCCCCCGAGAATGAAACTTCACAACTATTCCAACCATGAAGAGCTCCTACTAACCTCGTGTTCCTCAAGACGAACTGCAAGTTCACCTGCTGCATCAACTTCAGGTCCTCCCAGAGAAGCATCCAAATATGAGACAAAGACCGCCCAGTCATCTGAGCTGCAAGATCACGCAGTTCTTAATTAACAGAAAGGAGCGACGACTCTGAAGCCGCAGCCCCAAGAGGAAATCAACGACGAGATAATCAGAAGTGTGATAAGAAGGTATCCAGACGTATCAGCCTTTCACCTGGTCTTCAGTACTTCTTGGAACACGTCAGCCGCCTGTTCATACTTATGTAAGCGCATAAGCAGTTCTCCCTGCAAGCTTACCAACAAGTTGCAACCACACAAGACACCAAAACACTCAGAAAGTTTCTTCCAGGTACAATAAACCTTCATCGAAAGAGCATTTTAAATAGATATACAGTTGAAAGCTATAGTGTTGCAAGAACTTCTTTCTCAAAAGGCCTAGTTGCCGGTAGAACGAACAAACTGAACAGAAAGCCCAAAAGTATCGTCTTAAGAACGACCTAGTATTCTCATCACGTGGCAACGTGAACTCCTTTCTACTCCCCCTCGTGAATCAACAACCATGCGGAACAAACCAGAGGTTTAATATCCTTGCAACATCAGTAAGGTATGAGCTGAAAAATGTGTCACCTGCAACCTAAGTTTGTCGTTTTGGATACTAAAGAGCTCACCCAGCTGCCCCGTCATCACTTCCAAAGCAGATTCGTACTTTCCCTGCTGCTTCAGGACGCTGATATATAGCATCAAAGCTGCAAAACATAGTCTAAACTTTCAGTACATACAAGACTATGAAGTGTCAGAAGGCAACCCTCCGCGCACGTACACAATTTCTAATATCACTCTTTGATATACGAGATACCGGAGAAAACAAAAAGAATCTGAATATGGTCCTGTATCTGCATCTGGAGTTCTAAATTACCATCTCGAGGGCACGGATCGTTTGCTCATTGTCCTATAGCATAAAGTATTTAGATGAGAGAGACACCGCTTCCCTTTCGAGGCTTCAACAAGAGACGACAACACTGCACTAAAGACAATGAAGATGAGCGGAGAAAGGCACAAGAACATATGAAACTGAGGACTTGAGGTGAGTATAACACTCACCTCATTTAGGAGGCGGAGATTTCATCTTGTCCTACATGAATTATAGTCGATGCGCAATACTAAACAAAGTAATCAACCGTACTATTTTCCTCACCTTCCAAATCGTGTAAACCGTGTGAATCAACCCTTTTCTTCAGAAGAGCCTCAGCGAGCGCAACCAATTTGCTGCCACTGCCCTCGGAGCCAACCTACAAACTTACCAAGTTCAGACCTCCAAAGACCTGAGCATATGGAATAAAGGATGAACCACACAATAACCTACCAAGCTTTACACGTTCCTATCGCACGCCTATAATAGAGCTAAGTTTGATGACCAGCTTCTTCCACATCCCAAGGTGTCTAAACATAGGGCAAGACGATTTTCACCTGATTTGGATCCATTTGACAACTACTTTTGCCTCAACATACCTGCATCAAGATGCTGCAGACGGCCCATAGCAAAAACCTCTCTTCTTGAACAAGTTTGTATAGCTTCATAGCTGTCTGCCCACATACAACTGACGATGTAGAATCAGGGCTTATTTACACATATCACAATATTTCAAACGAACGATTTTCACTCCATTTTTACAACGCACTTCTGTCTCTCAAAGAATAATGACCGCAGTCTGCATCTCAGATCATAGTATTGCAAACAATTGCTGCGAAAAACCTTCTCTTCAGGCTCCATTCCATTCCCACTATATGGATCACGAAATACTGCGGTATAAGTATAGACCAGTTCTTGTAGCGCATATACTCGTAGGGGCATGAGCCTGGTTGCTCTCAAGGTATTTATTCCAGTCTAGTATGTCCGATCCACAGAGGGCCAAGGAACATTATAAGAAATCTCCTCAGATTCAAAATTTTACAAGAATCTTGGAAGGCGGGGCCGTGACATACCTGTTGCTGTTTGACAAATACATATTCCCGCACATAGCACTTGAACAATGCCATCAACATTTCCACATTATTGGGCATTACCGCGCAGGCATGTTCATAGCACAATGTCGCTTGGTCAGCTGCAGAGAGACCAAACAACCAAAGCATATGAGATGCAGAAGATCGCCATGTTAAAGCATAGCACAACACTACGGAGTGATCAAGTTTCGAACCCCGGGACACACTCATCACAATGGTCATTCAAGCTGCTAAAGATCAATGTCAGTATAGATAGCAATTGTCAGGGCAATAACAATAAATCGGGCTACGTTTGCTACTTGCACACCAAATTCTTCGCCTGTCTAAATAACCAACACGGATGAATCGCCCAAGCTGACAAACGAAAAGAAGGTATTGGCACTAGATAGTGAAGATCTATAAACGAAACGGCCAGGAGTGAATCAGAAGTCAGGAAAATACGTAGTTTCATTCTTGAATACACCATTTGGAGGGTACTCAGCGTCAGATCATCGACTGGTCGAGTATCCTTGGCTTGCTTGCAAAGGACCAGTGCTTCATCGGGCTTCCCAATCCTCTCTAGCACCAAGGCTTTAAGTGCCTGCACAATGATACAGTTTCAACAACTGATTACTTAAGGAAGTGGATGCAGAATACAAACCCTGCGAAAGCTGAAGAGAGGATTCAAACACTCCTTACGTGCTAATTCATGAACGAACTGCTGAGTCATGATCACCAAGTTTTGAGCTAAATTCAAGGGAACTATCGTTCAAATTGTTCGTGTCAACACTAATTAACTTCACATTACCATAACTCAGTCTCATTCCTTGCAAAAATAAATGTTACAGACTTTCTGTAAGGTAAGTGCTCCAAATGGAATCAGGAATTCTCTACATGTTAGACGGAGACCGGTTAATTTTTTTTCAGTAGTACACGTAATTTGACTTTTTTTAACTTGACGTTAGTTCCTCCTTCGGCACGCGCGAATTGCATAACATTCACTTCGTGGGACTTTGGAAAGCAGAGTAATAGATGAAACCATCAATGAAACACCTCACTGACAGGATACTATGAAGTCCTACTACAGAAACAAAGTCCAGTTGTAATGAAGTACGATTATGTCGAGCCTTCAAAATGTGACCAAAGGTTGTTGAACAGATGGAAGGAACCACCAGAAAAACAGTTACGATGACTTTTCGCTTTCACCCAAGTTCTCCTTACACGGACCCTTTCCTAAATGCACAAGTAGTGACGACGATCAGACTGTTCCTAAGTAACATAGTCTTGTCAGAATATAGGAAAGACACTGATCAGTAGTCTATATAGAATGAACTAGACCTTTGAAGCGTATATTTTCCCTTGAACTGCATACACGTTCCTTCGTTGCATATTTTTTTGGACCCTTTTCATTCGTTAAATATACAGTTACTGCACACACAGCAACTTCTAAGTAAGATAAACAAGGATGTGAAGGAACATCTGTCTTGCTTGGTTTCATTCTCAAAATCCTGATGGGTTTTTTGTTTGAGCTACGCATGATGAACCTCATGTGGATCTAGCTCTCTTCAGCGTAGCATAATTTTTCATACGTGGTCCCTGACTGATTCTCATTCGTCCTGCTACAGAAGCATAACTGTAAATGCAGCTGCTGTTCAAACCCTCATACGGTAGAGCTCCCATTGTGACGTTGATCACAACTTGGAGGCCTGCTAATGAGGTGAACAACTGTCCAACTCCTAGTACTTACAACGTTGAACACAATTTTCTGGCGAAGCCCGACCAAACCCTAGTTCTTCGAATCCCGGACAGAACCCATGTCCGAATCTATGTCTGCAACAGACACCTGAAAATCTTAAACCCTGGAGAAATTAATATCATTATCTGGCGATAAAGGATTTCCGCATTCGCCCTCATAATAGTATGCGATTGTCCGTACATTATATTTCCTGTTGCTTGGCGAGGCAAATAATGAGGGGTTCCATGAGAAGTACCACAGCGTAAGTAGAATCAGGATGCTTGGCAAGAAGAGCTGTGGCCAGCTTGAGCGCCGACTTGTAATTGCGAGTATCTATCGCATACCACAGAGGCCTCAACCGCCGCTCAGTGATGGTTCCCTTGGATCCCAACATTTTTCTTCACTTCTCCGACAAAAACCACTTAACCACCTTTCCTACATGCGCCACGCGAGAACCGATGCAGCCCTAGGACTCTGCATCTCCAGCTCCAGCGCCTGATGCCTCACTCGCCTTCCTCGATCGCATACGCATGAACGAGCACTCGCACCGGCAACGCCAACAACTACTGCAAAACTCCACTGCTAAAATTGCTACAAAACCACCATCGCACCATTAGGAGCAGCAGCAGCAGCAGCTAAAGGAATCCATCTGTTTCCTCATTCCAAATTTCCAATTCCTGCAGGATCCATGCGCTGTTTGCAGCTGCAGACTCGCCCTCAACCGACCACCACTCCACGTCCCTGAAATCAGCGCACTGTCAAAGGAGCACCACTTCGCCCAGCTCCCAAAGCCCACACTCTGCACCTGCTCTGACAGCAGAGTCCAAAGCCCCACTCTTCCGAGTCAAGCGCAAGCACAAGCACAAGCACTCACACATGCCACGATCTTATTAACCCTGGACATGGTGATTCTGTGCCTCCTGGGATTGGATTGGACACTTGGGACAGGAGACCACGCTCTGGAGGACGTCTAGCGCTCTTTCGCAGATCCCTGGCCTCCAGAATATTAGTATGGACGTCCTGATGCATGGCATTCTTGTATCTTGCTTCTGGTATTTATTACCTTAGATAGCATAGACAGCTTTGGTCCTTTGGTTGCCCGGTTAGTTTTTGTTTCCTTGGAAACAAATAAAACTCTTTTCCAAATAGACTTCATTCCATATTTTTCTTGGCTGTGTTTTTTATAATTATTCACAGGTTACATTTTTACATCTTTACAACTTCTAAATTCAAATCCACTCAAAGTATGTATTCATATCAATTGTCAATAACAAAACATTCACATTAATTTTTGAAAGTATACGGCATGTAATGTACGATCGCTATGATTTTGGATTTTTCCCTCACGTGAAAAAACCTCCAGATACCTACTGTTCGTTAGTCCATAACCAAGACGAGATCTTCAAGATCATATGGACTCTTTTTTGGACATAAACTCAAGATCTCTTTGGTCTCCTTTTCAAAGGTTCACCACGCTTTATCATACTAGGTGTTGGATTATCATAATTCAATTTCTCATATGTTTTAGCGCATGGAATAATGAAATAATAAAATAGACAGCTGGCTTTCATTCGAGTTGATTGTTATCATCTCAGAGTGTCAACGTAGTGACAAGTTCATAAGGAGTTGTGGTTTGAGTGGTTATCAGCTCGTGTGTGAAACTCGAGTTTTTAAGCACAAAATGGACTCATGAAGGGTTTAGGTCTCATCCGTTTCACGGAGCTCTTGGGTTTAATTATTGCGGGTCATTTGACCAGGTGAATGGTCTCGAATTTCCAAACCCTTCATCGATGCATATGCCTTTTAAATTAATGTTTAATGTAAGATATTTGGATCATATGAATTCCGACTGAAATGGAATTCCAAAAAAATGAATGAAAGAAAATTATTCGTACTGAAATAAACCAAAATAAATTAGAGTAAATGAAAAGAGATTAGATAATATCATTTCATATAGAATTATGATGCACACACATATTTATTTTCGTTGAAACATCCGATTGATATTCTACTTTTATTCTTTTTAAAGAAAGATCGTGTGTGCATGGGAAAAAATTATATTCTATATTCTTGCGTGTATAAAAAAATAAAATTTATACTCTATATTCATGTGTCAATAAAGAAGCAACAAAGGTCCAAAATAAAATCTTAATTAGAGTTTTTGTGAATAATTGAATTCTGTGATATATTGATATTGTGCTCAACTTATGAGATGCAAAGAAGAAATCATAGAGGTCGTGTTGAATTAATAAAGAGTTGGGTCGAAAGTATTCAAGAATGGATTCCGAAGCCAATCAAGATTAAGCAGTCTTCATTTCAAGTCTTCTCTCACAATACGCTTCGATTGCCGCGTGGGGAATTAGAGCAGTGTACAAAAGCTTGAATTTGCAAAACCCGCTGTCGACCGGAGCCCTAAATGCCCACGGTCAGGGCTGAGGGTTTAGCCAGGGCTTCGTTTGTGCTGACTAGCGGTCGTCGGTCTAGCGACGTGACAGCGTCGGAATGCAAGTGCCAGCACGGGCGACTCAATTGTCTCGGAGCTCGTAGACGCTGGCTGGCCCTGCAGGAGATGGGCGGGACTCTCGATTCGATTCGAGCTATCGTTTCTTCGTGAGGGATCGGTGAGGCGATTGTCGCGTCGATTGGTTTACTGGAGAATGGTGCATGTAAGGTGTGCATTTGCTTAGTACTTTTGCCCGAAGTGTTTGCACCATGGCGGGATTGACGTCGACCTTCACACAGTTCAAGAAGGCCAGGGTTGCCGAGTATGCCGCTCCTTCGGCCGCTCCGGCCGGGGAGGCCGTGGAAAAATCTGTCGAGCAAAAGCTGGGACCCATGCCCGGAAAAGCTATCACTCTCAACGAGATACAGCGGGACAAAATTACCAGAATCGCAGAGGCTAACTGGTCTGTCACCAAAGGCAACAAGTCCAAACCTGTATTCAGTGCGGAACTGGTGGACGAGATATACCGGAAGGAGCTGACTCTGACGACCGGGAGCAAAACAGTTCCCTTGCAACGAGTCATGGTGCTGGAAATCAGTCAGTACTTAGAAAATTATCTTTGGCCCAATTTCGACCCGGCAACGGCCACTTTTGAGCATGTTATGTCGATTATTTTGATGGTCAACGAGAAGGTGAGCACATAAATTACGTGGTTTGGTTGTTTATTAGAATGTGATCGGTTGGACTTGTTCTCCGTTTTGAAGCCGAACGAAGCATGTTCGAATATTGGCTTCACTCATTGACAATATGAGCTGACTTTCACATTAAATAATTACAGCGCATCCAATAATCTTCAAGGCTTTCTGCTTCTATTAATTTCCGGGGTCCTGCAAGGTTGGCTTGTCGTTGTCAAGGAAGGCTTAGCATCTGGGTCTCGTCTGTAGCCCGTTTAATATACTCAGTCAGGAATCTATCTCAATATTAGCCTCAAATCTTGCTAATACGTCCAGGATGTTACTGGGGCGTGGAGCAGTTTCGGGAGAATGTTCCAGCATGGAGATGCTTTCATGACAGGGAGGACGTTTTTCCAGCATTCAGCCAACGAGTCTTTACGCTGAAAGACGAGGTACGATCACGAAAGACTTCTTTCAGCTCTTCGTTTCGTTTTTAGTTCCATTTACGTCGATCCCTACTCAGCACCTCACCTGTATCATTCTTTACCGGTACAGTTCCCCACTCTGTCATACGTGTAATTTTCTCCACTCATTTCTTGTTTTCTTTTCTGTCCAACGCTCACTGTTTTCGTGGTTCTTAGCGGTCTATTGTCGTGCTTTTTTCTGGTGTTGGATGCAACCTGCACCCTATCCCGTCCCCTCGAACTGCACTACCGTGTCGGTCTTGGCTCAGCGATTCCAGGCTTGCAGATCGCTTGGTATTTAACGTCGTCTGATTGCTTCTCTCGATATCAGTCCCACCGATTTTCGTGCTGCTTTACTCCATAGGGATGAAGACCCTTTATGCTGCCTCTGTTGTTGGGCCCACACGATGTTAGCCTCATGTTCGCTTTCTGTGGGACATGCGCAAATTAGCACGCCTTCGATCCTTCGATAAACTTGGTCAAATTTTATTCATAATGCATGAGTATGACTGATGGCTTTTACTATGATGGCGATTTAATTTATACAGCTGTAGCCTGTGTAGATTTGATCTAGAACGGGATATAAGAAAAGGAAGGCGTTTTGAATGAATGAATTAGTTTTGTATTGCATTATTTAGACATACAGTTGCGTTCTCTTTTGTTCACCCGGATATTTGGACCATTCTGTACAAACTGCCTTAGGCTTGAGGTCTGTGTATTTGAATTAACGGTTAACAATGAGAGAGTCGGATTGGAGTGACTGCAAGCTACTTGCATGAACGATATAGGTCCCTCCAAATTCAGTTCACAGAACAGCAAGTAGATTGTCCTTTTTAACTCCCTTTTCACATCCTCGGCTTCGATGCGCTCTCTGTTGTACGATTCCTCCAACGACTTTGATTAAATTTCCATTGTCCAAATCTTGACCGATTTCCAAACAAATGAATCTGAGTAAATTCCCTCTAGTCTGTGCGCTCACAACCTCAAGCAGTACATTTGTTCCTGAATTGTGATGTATGTTATGCCTTCCAACATCTACGGCCACAGTAAGTCCTCAATCCGAACATCCGAATTCTGTTACTGCGCAGTAAACGCTGCGATGATTCCAACTCTGTTTCCATCTTCTCCTCTGTTCTTCCTATTTCGAAGCAGCTTCCTGCCTTGGTCTTCGGTCAATATATAGCTATAGGGAACTTGGCCACGATGAAAAGCTCCAGCTGTACATCTGTTCATGAATCTTGATGTACATACACGATCGAGTACAACAACAGCTTCCTCATTCCAAGCATGTGCAGACTGGGTTCCCCTTTATTAGTTCTTCTAGTTTTGAACGTAACACTAATGGATATATTGTATTATGCATCTTCTCTTGTGTTTCAGAAGGAGCATGTGTGGAACATTAGAGAGAAAATAAACTATTTGCTCTACATGATTCACTGTTTTCAGGTACACTTAACAACCCCTAAGCCCAATAGCATCCTGATTGCCTTCAATTTTGCTTCTGGAAAGAAGAATTTGAGGTCTTTCTTCCACCTTTCGTTGTACTCAGTGGACCTGGAACTTGGATTCGTCATGCAGAGTTTGGAAGATGAAATGGTCAGAGGTCCAGTCCTGAAACTGGCTCACTTGAAGCTATGGCATGCTCTTTCACCCGGGCGCTTGCAGGTTTGTTTCTACACCAAGTCGTCTTGTGTTGTCAGTTGTAGTCGTATTATTGTCATATTTTCATCAGTTTTTTCCAAACTTTATCAGGATGGCAACTTGTCTTAGAAGATGGTCCAAAGCTTTTCTTAGCAGCTCAGTGATTCTAGCGCGAGTGTGTTCTATATTGTAGCTGGAGTTCTTTTCACATCCCCAAGAAGTTCTCGAACCATGGAAGAAGCTGCTGAAGAAGGAAGCAAAACTTGCAAAAAAGGCTGGCCCTGGCGCACATGACCCTAAGCAAGATTTGGAAGTGAGGTTTCTGCCCTCGCTCATACAAGAGTTTTTGGAGGTATGATATCCTAATCAATTGTGATGTTTTCGTTCCACCTACGATATGTTACAGTATGCTGCTTGTAAACGCTATAACAGGTCAGCTTTAGGTCTTGATTGTCTAACTTGCTTTCTGTTTTACACAGAAATTGCAAGTTAGAAGTCTTAGAAATCTTCTCTTATATGGCTTTTGAGTTTCAAGTGGTCCTTCAATGCCCTTGCTTCTGCTCTTGACGTTATGCCCGCTGCAAATTTGATGCACATCCCCTTTTTCCGTTTTTCCGAAGAGAGAACTGGTATGCTCGTTTACTACATTTTGTGGATCTAAGCAAGTCTTGCATGCTCTTTTGCTGATAGTGTATAGTCTCCTTCTTAGCTCGCGCTCTCTTCATAATTAACTTTGTCTAAACTAGATATATTTTTGTCATCATCTCTAGTATGAGTATCACTAACCATTGCCTTGTTGTTTGCCTCGTTGTTTTCGATAATGTATTCGAAGATTTTGGAGTCTACGGTTAGTTCGAGTTCAATGGAGGTCACTGGCAGCAATGACAACAGGGAATCTGATGTGGACGAAGCATCCGTGTTGTATTGCGAACGATTTACTGAGTTTCTGATTGACCTTCTGAGTCAGCTGCCCACGAGAAGGTGTGATTGATCACTTTTCTTCATCTCTGCTTTAGAAGAAGCTGTAAGCTTCATGCTCTCAACAGTATAATGACGTGAAGAGATGATCACGTATCAACACAGGTTCTTTCTCGACAGTATATTATGTGCTCAGCATATAGTGTAATGACGGCGTCTTACTCCATTATTCCCCCTGAATTCTTTTGCAATTTGCAGATATCTTTTGGCGTTGGTGGAAGACGCGGCTGTTGTAATTAAATGTCGGATGAGTCCTCTTTATACACACCAGCGAGGCCGGCTTTTCGGACAACTTGTGGATCTCCTTAGGTTCTACGAAGGCTTTGAGATAGATGAACAGACAGGCGCTCAGCTCACTGATGATGATGTGTTGCTAGCACATTGTTCTCGGCTTCAAGCTTTTCAACGACTTGTGTTCAAAGCAGTACCAAAGGTAATAATGTTGTGTTAATCTCAATGTTCGTAGTCCTGGGCAGGTTAAAGAAGGTTCTCAGTCACATTAGAGATTGCGCTTTGAAGTACCTTGAGGATCAACTGTGTCACTGTTTTGCAGTTGCACGAGCTGGCTTTGACGAACATCGGTGCCATAGAGAAGAGAGATGCACTGATTGAGAAGTTGTCAGTGCTCAATGCTGAGGAAATGAAGCATCTAGTGTGTGAACAGGTGAGGAATCTTCTGGCTAACTTCCACATTTCCTCCTAATGTCCACCTACAGGATGTTTTTAGTTGGCTTGTTCTCCATTGGCGAATTTTGTCCCTGTAGAATGTTGTTTCGGTTGTGTGAAGCTAACTTGATACCGTTCGTCGGATGTCAACAGCTGAAACTGATCTCCCCCAATGATCCCTGGGCAAACAGGGGTGAATTTTTAATTGAAGTCGTGGTGGCTGCCTTCGAGAAGAGACTGTCGCAGAGGCAGTCAATTAATGCTCTACCCCTTTATCCCAATGAAGAGGTCATGTGGGACGAAAGTCTTGTTCCGAGTATAAACTACACTGGTGAAGGATGCCTTGCTTTACCTAAGTTGAACCTCCAGTTTCTCACACTGCACGACTATCTTCTTCGAAACTTCAATTTGTTCCGACTGGAGTCGACGTATGAGATACGGGAGGACATACACGACGTCCTGAAACGAATGGGAGCCTACATCAATAGTGAAGGAGATACCAAGTTTTCTGGCTGGGCTAGGATGGCTGTGCCTATTCAGGAGTTCAAGATTGTGGAAGTGAAACAGCCGAACATTGGAGAACTGAAACCTGCTGCTGTAAATGCTGAAGTGACTTTCAGTATAGGAATATTCCGCGGTGAGAAGAGGTCTGAGTGGGACGAACTAAAAGAGCATGATGTTCTTTTTCTTCTTTCAATCACACCTCCACCCAAGGTTCTCGACAAGGAAGAAGCCGCGAAGTTGAGCGTACCAGAAAGATTCGGTCTTGTTTATGTGCGTGGCTGTGAGATTATAGAGATGCGCGATGAAGGAAACCAGCTTATGAATGACTTTACAGGAAGGATAAAGCGAGAGGATTGGAAGCCTCCACAGGGGGAGATGCGAACAGCGCTTATCTCCTTAGACAGTGCTCAATACCAGATAGATGTAAATGCTATGGCACAGAGTGGTGCAGATGATGTTTATGGAACTTTTAATCTCTTAATGAGACGAAAGCCGAAGGAGAACAACTTCAAAGCAATACTCGAGTCTATTCGGGATCTTATGAACGAGGACTGCTTTGTACCTGAATGGCTGCACGACATCTTCTTGGGTTATGGTGACCCCGCAGCAGCGCAGTGGCATAATATGCCCCAGCAGTTGGATGTCGTGGATTTCAAAGACACGTTCATCGATGCAAATCATCTTGTGGAAAGTTTTCCGTCCAGCGAGGTGCGTTCTTCTAGCCAATGTCGAGGACTATAAGGGACTCTATTTGATGAAAATGTCGTGACTCAGCTATTATGTATGCTGATGCCTACATGACATTGGGTGCAGGTGCAATTTCTTACCCCAGATGGTGAAGAAGATAAGGACCCGAGACCCCCATTTCGTGTCACTCTTATGAAAGCGTCAAAACCTGCCGGGGCGAAGGCTAAAGCTGGTGGTAGGAAAAGGAACGGAGCCGAGGGAGAGAATGTCAGCAAAGTTCCTGAATCCATCTCTGAAAAGCCGAAGATTCTTGTTGAGACTTACGTGCCACCTGATCCAGGGCCGTATCCACAAGACCAACCGAAGAAAAACTCAGTCAGGTTCACACCTGTGCAGGTAATTTATTTTCCCTCCTGTTCAAGCCGTATCTCCTCAGGACTATATAGGCTAGGTTCTGAGCTGATCTTCTGTTTGCAGTCATAGTCTGCAATATAAGAGTATTGCGTGTCTGAAAATCGCCAGAGTATCACGTATATCTTCAGAGCGTTTCGTTTGGTTGAATCCTTTACTGTCATAAGATCTAACTTCTATCATTGATGCAGGTTGGAGCAATTATATCGGGTGTACAACCCGGCTTGACCATGGTTGTCGGGCCTCCAGGCACGGGGAAAACAGACACAGCTGTGCAGATTCTCAATGTTCTTTATCATAACTGTCCGTCACAGAGAACGTTGCTAATTACTCATTCCAATCAGGCCTTGAATGATTTGTTTGAGAAGATCATGCAGGTAGTACTCTACGTTTGATATTGATGTTGTGCCTTTACATTCGCCTGTAAAGCTATCTTGGCTTCAGATGTATTTCGACAGTCCTTCACTCTAAAGAATGGAGGATGCCAAAACCATGATTAAATATCAATTTCGTTGTTTTGAGCAATAAAATGTTTTAATCGGTTACTTTTGTTTGCAGCGGGATGTACCTGCACGATATCTGCTTCGTTTGGGGCAAGGAGAACAAGAGCTTGAGACTGAACTGGACTTCAGTAGACAAGGCCGTGTAAATGCGATGTTGTCAAGACGGCTGGAGCTTCTAGCGGAAGTGGAGCGATTGGCAAGGACCCTGAACATACCTGAAGATGCCGCCTACACTTGCGAAACTGCAGCTCATTTTTGGCTTCTACATGTGCTCTCACGTTGGGAGGAATTCGTGGCCATTTGTGAAGGAAATCAAGGCAGATCAGACATCGTGAAAGAAAAGTTCCCATTCAAGGAGTATTTCAAAGATTCACCACAGCAGATTTTTGGTGGTGCTTCGTATGCGCGAGATATGCGCGCAGCAACCGGATGTTTTAGGCATCTCAAGACAATGTTTCAGGAGTTAGAAGAATGTCGTGCTTTCGAGTTATTGAAATCAACCGCCGATAGGGCCAACTATCTCATGGCTAAGCAGGCAAAAATTGTTGCGATGACTTGTACCCATGCTGCTTTGAAGCGGCGCGATTTTTTGCAGCTCGGTTTCAAGTATGATAACTTGCTGATGGAGGAGAGTGCACAGATATTAGAGATAGAAACGTTCATACCTATGCTGTTACAGAGACAGGAGGATGGTCGAGCCCGATTAAAGCGCTGTATTTTGATAGGTGATCACCATCAACTTCCCCCCGTTGTGAAGAACATGGCTTTCCAGAAGTACAGTCACATGGACCAGAGTCTCTTCACGAGGTTTGTAAGGCTGGGTGTGCCCTATGTTGAGCTTAACGCCCAAGGTCGTGCACGGCCCAGCATGGCTAAGCTCTACAACTGGAGGTACAGAGAGTTGGGCGATCTGAAGTACGTGAGGGAGGGGAAGATTTTTCATATGGCAAATGCTGGGTTCGCACACGAGTACCAACTCATTGACGTACCTGACTTTGAAGGGAAAGGCGAGACAGAGCCTAATCCATGGTTCTATCAAAATCTTGGCGAGGCCGAATATGTTGTAAGTGTGTTCCAGTATATGCGGCTTCTCGGGTATCCTGCAAATAAGATAACGATCCTGAGTACGTACAATGGGCAGAAGCATCTCATCCGAGATGTGATTGAAAGGCGATGTGCTCATCATCCTCTTTTTGGGAGACCAAGCAAGGTAATGACAGTCATGTAGTTAACAGAAACAGTCGACGATTTATCTGTCTTATTCTAGAATTATATCTTTCTGAGTTACTTTTGTAGGCAATATTGTGAAATTTAATAGTAAACCTTTGTGTCTCTATCTGCAGATCACAACGGTGGACAGATTTCAAGGTCAACAAAATGATTTTATTCTGCTGTCTCTGGTTCGAACTCGTATGGTTGGGCATCTTAGAGATGTTCGAAGGCTGGTCGTCGCAATGTCCCGTGCGCGCCTAGGTCTGTACGTCTTTTGCAGACGTTCCTTGTTTGAACAGTGCTACGAGCTGCAGCCCACCTTCCAGCTCCTGCTTCAGAGGCCTGATCGGCTAGCTATTGTACCTGATGAAAACTGTCAACCTTCTCAACGGCTTGTGAATGATATTGGGCGAGCTCATCTTGTTAGTGGCCTTCAAGAAATGGCTATGATTGTCGGTGAAAAGTTCAACTATCAGGTAGCTCAATCATTTATGTCTAATTTCCGTAGCTGTTTCAGCTGTTGTTTACATTTGGACTTCGTTTTCACCTACGAATAAAGCGTCCATATTTGATTGATCCAAATTTCACCCGGTCCACTAACCCTTGTGATCGCGCCCGCAGGCTAACTTCGCAAGACATCAAGCTCTGATACAGGCACATGGATATGCCCCAGATGCCTATGGTTCGGACTACATGGACCATACAACTGCTCCACCTATCGCAGGTTTTGTTTCTGGTGGGCAGCTTGCCGGAGATTCAGGTGTTGGTGGCGACAGCATTGTAGCAGACGGAGTAGCATCGGAAACTCCTACTGAAGAAGTAGAGAAGCACGCCACGACGGAGGTTGTGGCTATGGATACGGATTTAGAAGCAGCTGTGGATATGGGCTCAGCAGGAGTAACCGAATCACTTTCAGAAAATGTTGTTGAGGCTGAACCAACGGAGACTGAAGTACTTACTGACGCTGCAGCCCATATCTCAAGTCAAATGGAGTCTGCTGTTGAGCCTGTTCCCGGAGAAGTCATCACGACCACTCTCATTCAAACAGTCGTAGCCACTACGATCAAGACACAGGAGGTGAAGGACAATCAGTTAATCGAAACTGTCTCTGTCGACAGACATACTGAAACAACTGTTCAAGTAGAACATTCTGTGTCAGCCGAAGCTGATCTTGGAGTAGATTCAGACCAAGCTGCGGCGCCTGCTGGCGATAGCACTGATAATCAATAGATGTGAATCGAAATTTTGTAAAGCCGATGCTTTGTAGGCTAGATTGTAGGCTTGATCCCTGTGATCGTAGGCTCAAAGTTGTGAGGAAAGTCACGTTCGCAAAGTGGCCGCTACGAAGTGTAGTCCTTTCCGGAAACACTCGAGCAGCCAAAAGATTTGGGACAGATGAGACCTTCCCTTTCGCGTTGGTACTGCAAAGGCTGATGACTACTGATGATACGATCCTTGGAACATAGCTCTTGTAGTTTGAAAGGTTATTATACCTCTGCTTTTGTAACACAATCTCTGAAAGCTGTACAACAATGATTCAAGAAGGAAGGAATATTCTTTTCTCGTTGACGATTTTCATCCCAACTTTGGGAAGAGTGGTGTGCTATATCGAGTCGTCCCGCACATGCTCAAGCATTTGATTGAATAAATATTCACGAATTTTTCTTACTTTACCGCGCCCTCCGCCTATGCTGTGTTAGATGTACAGGACAGGGAACACAGTCCATGCTATATAGGGCCGGACCTCCTGTAACTGCAGTGCGCGGTTAGTTTACTGGGAGTATCTGACAGCAGGACTTGATGGCCGCAGATTCGCGATTATTTTCAAAGCCTCTATACAGGCTCAAGTGTAACGAAATGTCCACCTCAGCCCCTGCCCATGAACACACTGTTTCTACTTCGACCTCAAGAACCAGTACGTTGACACAAGAACGAAGGAGTTTATTTTCTGATTCTTTGATTCTCCTCTATGCTTCTTTCCCTTTCCCTCCCTGCGCTCTCCTCCCTCACTTTTCCTCTCCTCTTTCCTACTTATCTAAATTCTCACCTTTCGTCTCTTCTTCACCATAATGGGCGCTCACACTCCTCACCATCATTAATGTACTTATTCGGGGATTTGTTTGTTTTTTTAATAACAAAAGCGGTCTGACTTGTTTTTATATCATGGGGTGACCGACAGGTGGGCGGAGTTGGCTACAAAGGATACAAAAACGTTCACTTATCAGTACGAAAAGAGAAAAGAGTACTTATTGATAGATATTGTGACTTGTATATCAAATTTTCTATTGAAATATAATACACAAGTTAAAATAATTCTGATCTTTTCAACAATCAAGTCCTTCCTTTGGTATGGTAAATCCAAGAAGGAAGAAATTTCTTCCTTCATCCCACTCCAGTTGTATAGACGGGGTACGACACTTCACTAACCATAAGACTGACAGGCTGTACAAAGGTGTGAATTTTGTGATTGAAGACACCCTGCCCAGCGTCAAATTTTCAAAGGAATGGATCTCTCTCGTGGGATAGAACAGCGAAGTGCGCATTTAGAACCCAAATTATATTGGGAATTTTTTCCTGTAGAATCGAGTGTCATGCATCTGTCACCGTTGCGACAGATGCATGTTCTTTGGTCCCTTCTCCTTCCACTGTAACTTCGTCTTTGCTCTCCCACCTATCTCTCACGCAGTGAAGAACCCACTACCGAGAAATAATGCAAAGTTTATCTCCTTGTGATCCACTAACACGGCAGGCTAGAACAACCCCGACCGTATGCTCGGGGGTCGACGGCATACGATTACCGTCGTGACGGTGTCACCGTTCAGCAGTCCAGCGCTTAACCTGTAGTCAATGCACCCTGGTTATGTGAACACGTGTCGACTATGAGCATCATTCGACTACAATTCAGATTTATTTCAGCCTTGGAGGTTTTGAACACTGTCCGGTGGATTTTGAGTTCACGTCCAAGACTACTCCTCTTCGCTCTTAGTGCACAACGCAGACGGCGAGGACGGATCTCTCCCACAACCACCGCAATGTATCGGCGATGAATCTCCTTGCTGCTATGATCCTTGCAGCTGGACTGCTGTCAGCTGTCCACATTGTCCATGCAGCGGATCCTGACCCACTGCAGGATTTCTGCATTGCAGACCTTGCTGCCGGACCAGTTTCAAATGGTTTCGCTTGCAAGTTGCTTGCACTTGCTTCCACAGACTACTTTGCATTTTCTGGGCTTGCGGAAGCTGCGAATCCCAGCGTATCTGCTACCAACGACACTGCAAACCTCGCCTTCGTCAGACAATGGCCAGCTCTGAACACTCAGGGATTGTCTCTCATAAGACTCGATATCAATCCTGGTGGCATCATCTTTCCCCATACACACAACTTGGCCACTGAGATTCTGTATGTGTTGGAGGGAGAGATGTATACGGGCTTCGTCACCAACAACTTCGGCAACGACCCAACCATATCTAACAAGCTGTATGCAAAGGTCGTGAAGAAGGAAGAAGCTTTCATTTTTCCCAAAGGTCTGCTACACTTCCAGCTGAACAAGGGGAAGGTGCTTGCATCGAGTCTAAACGTCCTAAACAGTCAGAATCCTGGTATTCAGCTCATGCCTTCAGCTTTGTTTGGAAATGGCATCGAACGTGAAATGCTGGAAAAGTCATTCTTCATGAATGAGACTCAAGTTGCTGCACATAACTCATGTTGGATAACCACATTTATCTTACTCCTGCTCTGGCTTCATCGTCCGTTCGCATAAAAAATTCTGCGCACAGCAGGCCACTTGGGACTTGTTTGTTTGCGATTTCTTTCAGAGAGTGAGCGGAGCAGACATGCTATGCTCGTGTGTGAAACTCACTTGTATTGCTTCTCCTGTTCGAGATTTGCCACCAATGTATTGGTTTGTTTGTTGGCATTTGGGGTGCCAGGTTGGTCAATTAAGCAAGGCAAGGCCCGAAACATTTGGTCTGCTGGAAAAGCACGCACTTTCAGAACACCCTCGGGCTTCTGCGTGCACCTACGAATGTATCCATGTATCCACCTGCAAAATTGTGGTCGCCGGCAAGAAGAATTATGCCACTAGACAGAAGGGCTTCGAGCAGCTCCTTCGTGTTTCCCACCGTTGCATGCTTCTGCTGTATGTCTGTCTTTGTCTATTAGTCTCGCAATCCACCTCCCGAGAGAGATACATATGGACAAAATGCACGAAAAATATGATTGGACTAATAAAACAAATTCAAAAGACACATTTTGACAACTAATAGTTTACTTCATAAATAACACTGTAGATCTCAGCTGTGGACAACTAGCCAAAACATTCACGTTGAAATATTTCAAGTATCATCGAATACCATCACTCCAAACTTATGAAAGTAGAGTGTTGGATCCTAGCTCCAAGCTAAACAACTATCTCTATTATCACCTTTTGAGCTTTTCATTTTCATACAATGCAACTGAGCTTGCTTTAACTTGTTTAGGTAGATATTATTCCTTCAGTCCAACAATGGGTGCATCATGATTGTTCACCAACAATTTCTTTTTCAAAAATCGGTCTGAAACATATAACCTTTGATACCTAGGCCACCGAGATCTTCCTTATTTTTTAAAGTTAGGAGAAAGACAACTAAATTTGGTACATTAATGTGAATATGCTCTTTTGAGTCTTTTAGATAATCGAATTCTGCTACAATTTTAGAAACCACACATATTTATGATGATATTTATGACCTACAGCCTGAGCTTCAGAAAGCAGTGGCTGCTTCCCAAAAGTGTCTTCTAGCCATCCGATTGAAACCTCCCATCCCCATGGTTGCCCACCGGTATCACAAGCAGGGAAAAGGGCGGTCAAAAGCTTCTGAAAAGTCCCGCTCTTTCTCTTCTCTTCTGTCTCATGTTGACCCAGCAAAGAAAGAACTTCCAGTGCAGCATCCACGACAATCTGATGAACTTTCACTTGTTGTGAAGTAAGCTTCTTGGCGTGTGCAGCTACTTGAGGTGTAACAAGGGTTACAATAGGTGATCTTATGAACCTCAATTCGTCCCAAGTTAGATCTGTAACAGTCCCTGATTCTAAAGCCTTGCAAAGTGTTCCCAAAACAATATCCACCGTAGCTGACCGACTGATTGGTCCACTTTCACCCGCAAATTTGGCAGAAATAAAATTCGATGATGAACCCAAAATCAGGCTAGTAGCCAGCATCTTTCTCCGCACAATCAGAGTGGCGATAGTGTATGCTAGTGACGTGCCTGAGAGATGGTTCTTAAGAAACTCTAAGTAAGCCGTAACCTACACACGATGACACAGAAGCAAATTTTTCAGTTTATCCTTGCTGACATGCTCCATAATGTACACCTTGTCAAAGCAAAAACGTAGTCTTCCAAAAAGATTATGTCCAGGCATATCAGAATGGAAATCCTTTAAAACCACACAGAACCATGGAAGACATAGTAAACCTTAAACAAAAAAAAGATCTGACCTACTCGGATGTACCCATCCTGTTGCGAGAGAAAACACATATTGTTAATGAGTATCAGAAAAGAGTTCCATTTATACAAAAAATTCATCATGGACGGGCCTTGGTAAGTAACCACATGAATAGGTGTTTCTTCCTGAATTGCTCTTTGTATGGAAGGTGCGAGAACACTGACAACTCTTGACGCTGTCGGAAGCTTCTCCACAACTTCAAGCCACCCACAGTCGTCGTCTGTGTACTGATACCGCATTGAAGACATACTCTTCTCTGTAGCAGTATCCTCATTGACAGCAACGTAGCTTACACCAAGAGACACTTTCTGCATGACTACAGGTAAGCCAGACAAGCTGGAAGAAGAAGCCTGACCTAGAGGTGCATTCGTAAGACCAGTCACTTTCTTCGCAGCTTCCGACACATTATCATTGCTAGAAATGACGAAGAAACTAGAAACACTAGTACAGAAATAACCCGAAGGAAAATCATCCATGAATGAAAACCGAAAGAGCAGTATTGTGCTATAAAAAGCATTCAGACATCAAGAAGCAATGTGTTTACAATATATTTAATACATATTGGCATGTATTCATAAAGATTCATGTGCCAAGATGGAAAAATATGTATAAAATTCAAAATTTCAAACTTCTAGACATAAAGATCACGCAAAGTAAACTTTTGAACTTTCCAACTGAAAAACTAGCTTTCTCACTTGTCAAGTACCTACCAGGTAATCTTCGGCAAGGAGAAAATCAAGGAGAAAAACAGTAACCAAAAAGATGAAACTTACCTCTTGTATATGAGTCTATTCACTATATCGGATCATCATTTAGATTGATTGTATTTGTGTCAGCTGAAAGCTCTCTACCTAATCGTTTTGGTAGGGAAAATCTACTTGTAGGCAAAGAGATCCTATTCATATCAGTTTGTGGTTTCATACTTTTGCGTTTTCCACGCAGTTGAGTGCTTCGCCTGAACAACTCTTCTCTAATTGTCTCTCTTTTTCTTCTTTGAACTTCTGGGATAACATCAGGGAGAAGTATAATATCACAAATGACATCACTGAACTCTGATATAACATTCTGCAGAGCTGGACTATCATTGGACTATCCAGATAGCTACCGCTATCACCGTGAACATCTTCAAGAGGCACGTTCAAATCCTGTAAGTTGTCACAAGTGGTTACATATTAGCCGCAATAAAAGAAAAAATGAAAACAAAGACATAACTAATACATACATCTCATTATACTATAAAAATTTCAATTCAATGCATGTGTAAGTCACTTACCAAAGAATTTCTTGTCTCAATTAGACACCGTTTTTTCTTCAAATAGTTCTTCAGAATTAAATGGATTCTCTTTGCACCGTGATACTTGTCAACGATTCCGAGCCTTCTTTTCAATGTCAAGCCACTTGGTCTGATGAACATGTCGGCATTTGTGATTCTGTCCTTTCCCGATTCTAGTTGACATTGTTCCTGAACTCTCAAGTCATGCAAAGATCTATTCATTACAGCAAGTGTGTTGTGTGCTATGCTATCACTTTGTGAAGTCATTTTTTCTATTTGCATCCAAGCTTCTCTTGACTTCTCCACACAAACGTTTCTCTGATTGAACGTTGTGTCCAACATAAGATTTTCTTCTGCTTGCAGTTCTGAATCATACTCCACTGACAAATGAGTATTTTCACTTAACAACTGTCCATCGGTATTAGAAATCAATCCTTCATATTGCGACCCTGCCCAAGTTCCATGTTGCTGAATGATGGATCCTCCTTGGTGCCCTTTGCACATCAAAGCCTTGCATTGATGTTTGCAAATATTTCCTTTCACAGCCCACGAACATTCACATGAAGGCAGCATGGAATAACAATCTTGAACTGTGTACTTAGTTTTAGATTTTGAACATATCACCTCAGCAAAGTTTGGCTTTAAGGAGTCTGGAAACGCCGCCTGAATACAACATATATAACTTTTCATTAGTTATAATCAAAATGCAAGTTATGCATAGTCATAGCTCGGGTATTGCAAGCAAAAATGAGTAAACACAAATGCAAAATCAGAAATATTTTCACTTGAGCATATTTCATTTCGTTTTCTGCTGCCCATACACTGGAGATAGCAACCTCTTCCTTTCTCCAATTCACTACCAATCCCATTGCCTTACTACGAATATTATAAAGAAAGAACGGCAACATGCTTCCAAAAAGCATGTCTAACAATCTGTCCAACGACGAGCTTTTCAACCACCTATCATTCTTTGATCATCTTTTTCATGGTCAAATGCCAAGCTTCTGTTGCACCATTTGTTAGTTGGTTCGCGTGATCAAAATTTCAACAAATCACCAACCATTTATCTGTGAAGACAACACACAAGGCATGTAAGATATCACCATTGCTATGAAAATCATCCATGTCTGTGAACTACATGTTCAGATCCATCATCTAAAAATATAAGTAAAACTTTACTTCACAAGACCCATCTAATACTGTTCAACACTTCTTCCAATAATATAAGTTTAGTACTTGTACTAAATGCAATGGGCTAAACCAAGTTTTTATGAGCCTTCCAACTGTAATGAACAGCTGTTTACTTACACTACAGGCTAGATACACTATGAGAACAATACAAGAGAATTACCATAGAGTTACAGTACCTATTCTTCAGATCCATTCCTGTTTGAAGTAGTTTAGAAACTCAATTTCTGAAAAAAATCTAGTTTAGAATTGCATCCAACGTCCTCAAATCAAAAGTTCACTGTTAGCATACATCATTTCTCCCAAAGCATCAGACATTTCCAATATAAGCGTTTGGTTTTTCACTTTTTGAATAAGATTTTCCTTCCATGCCCTGCAAACAGTTCCAACTTGGTCAAAGGTTTTAATACGGATTGTAAATATCTATAGAATACTCTAAGGGTGACAATCATCAATATATACATATTATATTGGCATTTTTTATACATAATCTGTGCATAAATCACTACTATAAATGGACAGAATTTCAAAAGTACCTTCGAATATGAAATGTACAGAAAATCATAGGAACTCATGGAAATACAGCTTTCAAAGCAACCACCTCTTGAGGAGCACAATCAATTATATAGCAACTTGGTTTCCAGTCAAGCTTCAATTTTAATGCTGCATCTTTGATTTTTTGCAAAAAGTCCACTATCATCTGTGTTGTTTCTTTTTGTTGAATACTCCAAGCAACAGGTAATCCCATTTGATGGCTATCAAATGCAATCAATGTAAAAAAAGTCAACTGCATGATAACAACACATAACATATAATTAGTTATGTGTAGCATGGATAAATGCATTACTTAGTCCATAACAAGCCAACTCTAGTATCACCAAAGTTGATGGAACAAGTGACTAGCTAGAGTTTTCAAACAAGTACAAGTCTTCAAACATGTAACATGTCTCAGGAAGACATAGAAGAGAGGGTCCCGAGACAGCAGTCTAGGAAGTGAAGGATACGAGATGGGAAATATGAACTAGTAATTCCTATCTTGAAACCAAATGAAACTCGACTGTGCACAAGCAATAAAGCTGCTAAAATATATCCGTTTGGGGTCCAACTTGAAAATCAATGTCAACATTACCTTCTAACATATCAGAGTTGAACATTGTCCTTAATTCAGGCATGTTATTTTTTCTTTAAGCATTTCGCTTATTAGCCTTCAGTTTTAGTGTACTTTAACTGCAATTCTAAACTGATTAATATCCTGGAGAAAAAGTGAAACCAAATGCACCTTGATTGTGCAGAATTAGTTAGAGGAGAAAAGTGACAAAAGCTAGTCAAACTAAACATCTAAGTATAAGTTGTCATGTTACCATCTGTTTGATCAACTTTTTATTCTGAAGTTGAGAGCATATGTTCCACGCTTGTAGGCCATGCTACTGATAAATAGGGATTACTTCAAACAATTGATTACATTTCCGGGCAATTTTTTGTATTCTCCTACAAACAAGCAGTTTCATCCTGCTTGTCTCATGATGCAAAATCATGCATACAGTGCATGTACTACGTGCAGGTATCTTTTGCGATATGCATATAGAGAGTATGTGCCATCGTTCTCTGTATTTGTATAGTGAGTACTTGAGACCCAAATAGAGTACTTGGATTCTTGCAGTCAAGCATGTTCTTTTGGAGATACAATGCTATACTCGCCATTGTACCTTTCCCAAGATTTGATATCATTTCGAAGAAACCTATGAGGTCCAAGTCTTCAAGTCCGAAAGGAACTAGAAGACCTACAAAGAACACCGGATAGTAACCAAATACGTAGGTTCAACTCTAGGCAATCCTATCTCGATATCCATTCCGTGTGTGTACTTTTCAGCACTGGTACTTTCCAGACACCCTTTCACCATTAATTCTGCATAAATAATTTGCAAGTTTACTTCCTGTCATATTCATCGATATAACTCATTAGACCTACATCAGGTAGTTTTGACAGAAAAGAAAACTACTTTTGTTTTTTTTTCTATGTGTTCACTGTCAATGTAAAAATTTTAAGTTAGAGCATATATACAAGATCATGTTCAAGAAAAAAAACACAGAAAGAAAAAAGTTAGATGTGGAGAAGAAAAAATGGCACATACCTCACATAAAGCATACACCCACCAGATAAATTTGAACTGAAATGGCAAAAGTCAAAGTGATCCACATGCAGTCTATGTATCAAAAAATGACGTTGATCTACTGGAGTTCAATCCAATTGAAATAATGACAATCAACACCAGAACAATTAAAAAAAATCTTTCACTACACAATGTCATATTCATAAAATCAACAACTCAAAATACAACCGAAAGAAAACTTACATCATACTTGGTTGTCGCAAACGTGCTGTCCAACGCAAGAGGCTTATTTTGAGAGTAGTGAATCATCATACCCAATTGCCATTTGGATTGAAGAACCAACATGAAATCTTGGGACGGATTTGCAAAGATATACTGTTGATGTAGAAGCACAAAATGCGGATGCGCATTAATCCAAATCTGCACAGACTGCTGATCGTTTTCATGAAACATATTAGTTTCTCTTGCCACATTCGCTTTTATATTGTGCAAGTCTTTCAAATGTATTGTGTCATCTTTAGCTCCTCTTATGGACCATGGAAGAGGTGCAGGATCATCAAAAGGACAGTCTGGACCTCCTACTTGAATCTGTTGTTTCAAATGCATGTCAAAAACTTGTGGAATTGTCCAACCCCATCTGAAAAGTTGCCTTATGTTTCGTCTGAGCTCGTTCATAATTCGTGTAGCATATGCACACTTTGGACTCTAAGGAACAACTTCATTTTCTGCAATTCTTCCGTGA